TCTCCTGCCTCCTCAGCAGTGCTAAGGATGTCTGACTGCAGCTTAGGCCTGCTCCCCGCTGGCAAGTGGACATCCCCTGAGGGCTCCCGGGCTGCCAGAGGGATGTCTGACTGCCAGCTTAGGCCCGATCCCCTCAGGGAGCGGGCTTAAGCCAGCAGGTGGCCATCCCCCGAGGGGTCCCAGACTGCGAGAGGGCACAGGCCGGGCTGAGGGGACCCCCCCCCCAGTGTACAAATTTTTGTGCACCGGGCCTCTAGTTTATCAATAATATAATGATTTGAAAAGAATAAAAACATAAATATTCTTTATTCTGCTTTCAGATTTCTTAGTGGTTATGCCTCCTCAGTAGCCTCTATGTTTCTCTCTTCTCCATGATTGTTAGTCTCTTATTTCTCTTGGTGTAGAATCCCTGGGAGAGAACGGTAAAGAATAATCAGGGTGTCAGACTAGAGGAAATAATAATGTCATTAGTGAGAAGTGATGCTCAGCATCACAAAGAATGGGAACATGGCTGGAAATGGTGGGGGATGGGATAGTATAGGAACATTGGTCAGAAGGTACTTCTGTATTACACCTTATACCTACTTCCATCAGATCACTTATCACTTTACTTTGTCATTCTCTGTCTGCGTCTCTGTATAGATTTCAGAGTAGAGGGCAGACAGGAATTCTGTTCATCTTTGAGACCGCAAGCATAGTAAATACCATTGATCTCCCATGGCCACTAAAGAAGTTCATTGACTCTCCTATTTCAACTGATCTGTCTGCAGATTCTATCCAACTCAGAAATGGGGATATAAGGATCTGGAGAAACCTTGCCTATCCTGATTACTCACAACTCTACATTAGGGATGACCCTTTGAGTTTGCCACTCTGTCCACTATACATGCCCTCTCAGCCTTTCCTATACCTGATCCCATGGTTCACTAAATGGTTCACTGGAATTAAGCTAATTAGGGAGGCTTATTAAAGAAGGCTGGAAAACAATTCAGGTTTGAAGTTAAATCATTGGACATTTGCTCTTCAGCTTCTCAGTGGTACACTTTTGAGTGACACAAGCTAATGTTGGAGGATGTCAGGTATTAGGAAGCTCTGGTAAACTTAACCATCTGCATATTGTGTTCTTCTGAAATGCTTACATTATCTACTTTCTACTGGGGTTTGATGTAGTGTTGATAAAAGAAGGTAGTCCTGGGGTCACAGCAAATCATCATGCATGTCTGTTACAACTGAGGAGAAAGTCCTGATGACTTGACCTTTATGTGTAGGAGAAAGATAAACCTTTATGGGGAAACTTACTTCTCCCATCTATTTATTCATTCCTTCATTCCTTTTTTTGAACACTATGTGAAAGGCACTGTGATAGGTGCTGGGGATAAAAGGGTAAAAGATGTGGTATCTGTTTTCAAAGTCCATGAGGGTAAATTATCTCTCTGATTGCAATGACAACACAGTCCAGGGGTCAGCAAACTATTTCTGTAAAGGGCCAGATGGTAAATATTTTAGATTTTTTTTCTGGCTATCAGGTCACTTATAACCACTCAACTCTGCCACCAAAACAGCCATAGATAATTCATAAACAAATAGGTATGGATGTCTTCCAATAAAAATGTATTTAGGATAGTGAAATGTAAATTTCATGAAATTTGCATGTATCATATAATGTTATTATTTTGATTTTTTCCAACCATTTAAAATTGTAGCAACCCTTCTTAGCTTGTGCACTATACAAAAAGAGGCAGGGGGCTGGGTTTGGCACTTGGGCCATAGATTTCCCAGCCCTGATGGTCACTGGTAGGTTAGATGTGTGTGTGAGTCCTAAGTCCAGCTCTTTTTCAGTCAAAGCAAAGATCCAACCAGCATCATAGGAGTAATCCTTGTCTTTTCTACTGTCCTACCTCTATTAATCCCCTGTCCTCCAAATCCCAACTCCACAGGTCTTTCTACAAAACAGAAATCTTTTTATAAATTGATGATACTACCAAGGACATCTGGGGACTTGTTTTCCTGTGAGAAAATGAAAATGACTCCAATGACTATTTGGTCTCTAAAACAGTTTAATTTAGTATTTTTTTTCCCTTTCCCTATCTCCATACTAGAAATTAACATAAAAATTCCTTCTGGCTAAATTCCCAATACATTTTCACAGTGAGCATTTTCTGAAGTGAAAATTAGTAGCTTTCTTGCAGTTTTCATCAGGGATGTGAAATCATGCAGCTCACAGGGGTGAATAACTCAAACCCCATTTATGAATTAATGCATGCTGCTGAGGGTACCTCGCTGTTTTCCTAGTGACAGGGATTCATTTCTACAGAATCCTGAGCATCTAAAGAGTGTATTTTAATTTGCTTCTTCATTCCACCAGTGAGAGAATACCATTTCTTATTTGCACAAATGAATTAATAAGTAACAACTGGTACCTATATAAGATTATATTATTTACACCATCCTTAGGGGTTGGCAACACTTGGGCAAATTATCATGTCTCTCCCTAGTCCCTCCTCCCTCCATCCCCATTTTTATCCAGGTAAAATCTAGAAACTGAGCATTAAGGACACCCTGAAATGGGAATCAGAGTCTGTGGGGTTAAGCATTTATGGAAGAGGGAGCCCAAGTCCTATTTATGCCTGCACAATGATTAAGTACTTATAGGGCTTCCTTGTTTAAGCTTAAGATGCTACTTTCATATCTCACATCTTCCTTCTTTGACAACCTCTGCCTCTCTCTAGTTCTAGCCAGCTGGTCCCCAAATCAGCCTCAGTCCTCAGTCTCAGAACCTAAGCTATTAGCCAGACCACCCTACCCCTTGTCCCCCCCCCCCCCCACCCCAA